GGGAAAAAGTTCAATTTAGATCAGTACTTCACACCTCATAGCAAAATTAATCCAGAGGGATCAAAGATCAAAATATCTTTAAGTGAGGGCCAGCCCTGTGGGCTAGTGGCTAAGGTAGCCAGATACCCTGGGCTGCCCAGCAGTTTGAATCCTAGACCTGGTGGCTTGCAGAACAGGCTGGGCCTGTGTTCATGTGTGCTCCAAATCCCAGTGGACGGGGAAATGGAGAGACTGCAGCGTGACCGTGCCCCACTGAGGGGTGTGTCCCCCTCTTCTTCTCCATCTCTCTCTGGTGAACGCGCGTACCCTCTGCCAAACTATTTTTTTCTTTAAATAAATAGTGATATTTTTTTTGAGAGGTTTTTGTTATAGGGTACATGCGCTCACCAGAAAGACAGAGAGACAGAGATAGAAAGCGAGAAATTACCCCCCAGGGGAGATGGCCACACCGCAATCCCTTCTCCTCCATTCTCCTCTCGGGATCTTGGGCACGCACGCACACGCGCCTGGCATGAGTTTAAGCCACCAAGTCTGGGACTCAAACCACGGTTGACTACATGAGAGTTCAGCGACATAGCCACTGCGCCAATTGCTGGTCCCAAGAAATAGTTTTAAATGAAATAAATTACTTAAAAGAAACTACGAAGAAAAATTTTAAAATAATTTTAATGTGTAAAAGGCAACCAGAATCCCCCCAAAAAGATAAATTTAGCTATATAAAAACAAAAACTAGCTTTTTTCTTTTTTTTCAGTTTATTTATTTCTTCCTTCCACAAGAGACAGAGACAGACAGACAGACAGACACCCCCAACACTGCAATCTACTCCCAGTCCCAGCCGGCCCACATCAGGGGCATGTGTGCACACCCGGTGTGTTTAAGAAGGCCCTGCGACAGGAGCCCAGGACCTTTCCCACGTGGGTCAAACCACCAAATGTGGTATATCCACGCAGCGGAATATTACTCAGCAATAAAAAGGAGTATATTCACACATGCTACCCCGTGGCGGCCCATTACAAATTTTATACCAAGTGAAAGAATCGCATCACATACTATATAATCCCCTCCAAATGAAGTGTCCAGAAGAGGTGAAGCCCAGAGACAGAAAATAATTAGTGGCTGTCAGGCTGGGGGGAAGAGGGCGAGGAGGAGTGACAGCTAATGGGCACGGGGTCTCACGTGGGGGTGACAGTAATGTTCCAGAATTAGAGAGGCGTGATGACTGCACAGCTGTGTGAATACACTAAAAACCACCAAGTTCTTAAAAGGGTGAATTGTATGGGATGTGAATTTATCTCCACAGTGAAAGGGGACAGTAGGCTCTCTCTGTCCTGCTGAGGTGGTTGCCAAAACAGTGTTAAGTGAGGACACACAGCTCCCGTGGGTGACATGGTGCCATTTACGAACAAAAGAGGGTGCAAATATATTTTGTAGAAATGCATATGTCTATGCGAACGCCCGCCTAAACTCCGTCTGGAAGCCACACCTGACGGCTGACATTGCCTCCGCGGAGGGAGCTGGGAGGCTGGGAGATGGGGTGGGAAGGAGGCTTTTCGCTGAAGATATTCCTGAACCATGAGAATTTATTACCTATTCAAATATTAAACTGAATTTAAATTTTAAAAATGGAAGTGACCCCTCTGACTGTCCGCTGAGGGGCAGAAGTAATTGGAATGGGAGTGGGGCCGCCGTCGCCGGCCTCAGGAAGACAAGGCTGGGCAGGTGTCCCAGTGTCCTGACATCCTTGGGCCTTGGTGGTGGGCCCAAGGGGCTCCAGCCAGGTCTAACAGGACTTTTATGAGGAAGGGCCCCAGGGACAGAAGAAAGGCTCCAGCTCTTTGTCCTGGAGATCGGAGCAGCTGCCAGGAGCTGTGGGGCCAGCGATGACCTGGCACAATGAGGGAGACCAGGAGGGGCCAAGGCACTATCGGTCGAGGGCCACTTTCTGAGCCAGCTGAATCTCGTATGTCAGTAAACGTAGTGGGCACGGGATACAGGGGTGGGTGGGACACAGTCCCTGCCTTCTGGGAGCCCCAGCCCAAGGATTTCTGAGGCTGTGATTTGCACGCAGCTCATACCCAAAGGCCCCCAAAGGCAATGACACAGCGCTGGGCTCTGTCCCGGTAGTAAAATGGGTAGTGCTGGACTCCTGCCTGCAGCCCACAGCACCC